ACAAGAACTGACTCGTCTTTGATACGACAAACACCAATCAGATCCACTTCTCTCATGGCTGCGCTACTCAATGGTATTTTGCAATCGGCGCCCAAACCCACAATACCAACCTTTCCGCCACTTTTGGTCACATGTATTGCCAAACAAACTGATAATAAGAACTTCATTTTAGAGAACACGAAAGCAAACGAATGGTCTCTCACCTGAAGACTCGACACCTGTGCACTCTATGGCAATGTCGACTCCCAAAGAGTTGGCACCGATCGCACTGCGAATGGTTTTCGCCATTTCTTTGTCATTAAACGTCTTGGGATTGATTACAAAGACTCCGTCGGCGCCCAACTGTTTGGCCATTTTTAGACGACTTTCATTGATGTCAGTTAAGAAGACCTTTGAAGCGCCGAATGCTTTTGCCACCAGAAAACACATTATACCGACGGGTCCGGCGCCGCACACCAACACATTTTGACCGATCCCTACACCCACTCGACGACACGCGTGAACCACAACTGCCAGCGCTTCTACAAGAGCTCCCTCTTCGCACGACACGTTCTCTGGCAGTCTAGCCGTTGACAAACATTTATACATTTTAATGGTTTGCTATTTAAGTGTTTGCAAAGATATTATGCTTAGAATAGGACAAAATAAAAGCTAAATGATTGATATTTTTAATTGAAGTTTTAATTGTTGAAACCTTTTACTTTTCGCTATAAATATCGAAAAAACGATTTAAATCTTTTAACAGTTCACTGAATATTAAGCTTTTGAACGATATTTAAACCGCTTACACAAACTCAACTAAATTAAACTATTTTACTGTAAAGCGCTGCCAAAATGAACGATTAAAAAAATAAAGTTTCGCTTACTTATAGCAAAAGTCTGATCTGTGAGTATAGTATCGTCGAAGACATCCATCAGCGGGCGGTAATCCATGGGAGTGTAGGTTAGAGGCGGGACACAGATTGTATCGACCGCTGCGACAAAATTGACACTTAAGACATGGAAGCGCCGGTTCCACAGCCACTCTGTCGCCCACTTTCAGATTTGTCACTTCACTTCCCACTCCTATCACTACAGCTGACGGCTCGTGTCCTAAAACAAACGGCTTTTTGACCACAAAATCAGCCACAAATCCCTTCTTCCATAGAGTGACATCAGTGCCACAAATTCCACAACTTTTATGTTTAAAATGATATAAAA